TTTCAGACGCCCCCATGGCTCCATGCGATAAGAAAACCCGTGCAGCTTTCACGCTAACACCCACGCGCGTGGTTCCAAAGGGCCCCACACGATGACGCGCGCAGACTTGGCCTGGCACAGCTTCGTGAAAGGACAACCGGCTGTTGCGCAGTCAAACGCTGCGCGCCCGCAACAGAAATGGCTCATGCTGCAACCTCTCACACGCAGTGTGACATGTGTGAGGCTTTGGCTACTCATACAAAGATGAAACGCCACAGACCTGTCGGCGGTAGCTTTTTGGGCGGGGCCTCACTCTTAGGGCGAGCTAGTGGCAAGTTACATGGCTCCTCACTCAGCTCCGGCTGCTGCGTTGGCTGCTGCCGCGCCTTGGCCACGCAAGACTTCCTGACACGCAAACGTCGCTTTGCTTCAGCGCTGCGCCCATCAAGTGCCGCTCAGGCCCAGGCCACCCAGGCCACCAGCTCCATCGGCACCACCAGCACCCCTTCCCAAACCAGCGTCACCTGAAAGCGCAAACGTGTCGCGTTGCCCGTCAAGAGCTGCTCAGGCCCAGGCCGCCAGCGCCATCAGCACCACCAACCGTCCTTCCCACACGCATCGCCTGAAAACGTTGAAACGTATTTGTTTGCACGCACAAAACCCGGCTACCCTGAGCACCACTCAGTCACCAGAAGCCAGACAGCGTAAACTGGAGCAACCTTTTACGTTCAGATCCTGGCCCGCCCTCTTGGGCGCGCTGGAGCAAGAGCTCGAGGTCAGCCGCGGAAAGCCCCTTGGCAGCCTGTGGGCCAACTCGCCCCACGCCGCAAAACCTTCAATCAACGGGCCTTGAGCAAGCGCTGGCGCTTGGCAGCGAGGAGCTTTTGGTCTTTGGCAGCCTCCTTAGACTGGCGCTTCAAAGCAGCACGACGCTGCTTCAAAGTCTCCATCTCCTGGTGCAGGAGGGCCTTGGTGACAGAAACAAACGCTCACCTGCGAGGCAAAGCCAGTTTCGGGTGTGGAAACTACTTGCGGTTTTGGGCCCCCAAAGGTGGTCCTCTGGGGTTCGCGCAAGGGCAGAAAGCAAGCTTTTCTAGTCAATGGTCAGAGGGCGGCTCATCGTGCCCACGAAGGTGGCAGGCAGGGGGCGTCTCCGCGTTTCAGGGCTTCTTCTGCGCCAGCTGAAAAGCGAACTTGGCAAGCAGCTTTCCCTGCCGACATACGCCTCAAGGTTCACCTTCATGTTCTTCGGGAAGATCATTCTCGCGGCTTCAACAGAGGGTAGGCCGTCCGGCACTGTCGGAACTTGTTGCCACTCCAGCGCATCACAAAGTCTTCGGCCCAAGCGAGACTGCTCTGCCACTGCTCCCACCGCTGCAAAAGCTTCGTCCCAGTCGGTGGCGGGCAACACCGCTTGTATGCCAGCGACCAGAATCTCGAGCCACTGCACCGTGCTGATGGAACCAGCTTCAGACGCGGCTTTACCCCGGCGCCACGCGTCCTGCAAGGCTGATGGAACCCGCCAGAAGAGGTGTGTGTCCACGGCCATGCAGCTCTGCCGTCATCCGCGCTGGAATGTAGCAAATCGTGAGACCGCAAGTTTGGCGGTGCGCCCAAAATTGTTGGGTTGTATCTGGAGGGAGCAACATCTAGAAGCACGATGACGTATCGGTCCTTTTCAGAGCGCTACCTCAAAGATGAAGCCGCAGTGACGCAAAAAAACCTTCTTCATCAAGAATGCTGTTCCATGCAGACTTGCATCTCCAAACCTGAACATTCGCCGGCAATGTCGGCAAGCTTCTCATCATGGCCGCAGAAAATTGACGCTCATTGCCGATGAGAACTTGCGGGAGGCGGAGTTGCACTTCTGCGTCGTGAGTGATGCTGGCCAAATACGTGATGTGGCTGCGTCTCTCGCCCAGAGACGAGGGGTCGCCCAAGATGGGCTTGCCCGCAGGAACCTTCAGGACAGTGCCCGCCAGACCACTGGGGCGCCGCACCAGGGCGGTCTCGTCCATGTTGATGAGTAATGGCGGGCGGTTGGCAGGAGCGGCCGCCGAAGCTGCGTTGACCCACTGGAAATAGGCCATGGCCTGGCAAGGACAGCGCGACCAAAAACGGGACCGCATGCTGAGGACCAAAAAACAGGGTTGCACTCGTTTCCTTTCAAAGCTACTCTTGCCCAAACACCACTCCCAATTCAAGCCGTCCCTAGGACCTACCAAAAATACGGGGGTTGCCCCAGGACCTCCTTGGACTTGCTTCTCGGGCCACAGAATATGCGGTAGCTGCGGCGCCGCCTTTTCCCAAGCGCAGCCCCCATCGCACCCTGAACTTCGCCAACCATCTCCGTTGGCTGCGTTGACTGGCACCTATGCGGGCGTGAACCTTCTGTCGCCATGCGTCTGGGGCCAGAGGAGGTATTGCAGACAAGGCGCGCTCGACCAGTTGGGCGCGAGATGGCGCAACACCGTGCACTGTGTTCTGCTCTTCAGTCCAGGTGTAGAGAGAGCGCTCCACCAACCAGCGGATAATAGCCAGCATTTGGGGCTCAGACACCAAGCCAGCCTTGACAGGGTCGCCATGGAGCGCCGCTATCTGCACCAAGGGCAACGTGTCGTGCGCTTGCTCAACCTCCACTGCTATTTCCCGCAACTCGTCAGCAGACCCAGCGAGCGCTCCCCGGCCCTTCCACCACCCTCGGCCCTGCGCAAACTCCGCCACCACCTCTGCAACACCCCCGCTGTACACTAACACCACCATGCACGTGGAGCTGGCTGGAGCGCATCGCCAGCCGCGACTCCTCTGACGGGGCCTACTCTGTCGCCTTGCAGCCCGCTTACGCAGCGCCCGCAAGCGCCGCCCCACGTCTTCCATCTCTGCCTTCAACACATCTGGGTTTGCCAGCATGGCTCGCGTTGCACCAACCCCATGAAACTCTCAAACCCAACCCAACACGCGCTGCGCGACTCTGCGCAACGAACTAGCAGTTAGTCAGGCCAACTTAAGAAGCCACAGCCAAAAACAAGTGTGACAAGAACCACGCAACAACTTGACCAACCCTTGTGTCAACTCACATGCGTGAACAGCCCGTCTGGTTTGAGACCCTAACTCCTGCAATGGGCAATGGGCAAGTGGCTCAAAAGGGATTTCACGCGGCGCTTGGGAAATGACCGTGGTGTTTCAATGTGGAGCAAACCCCTGCCCAGCACAGAAATGGTGTTGCACAACTGCAGAGGACCAACCTACAGGGCCTACTTTCAAGACACATATCCAACCCTGAAAACAACCGTGGCTCAAACGCAAACCAAGCAGGTCAGGCGAACTCTTCCCTGCCCCTGCCGCAAACCGTTCAGCTAGAATCCAAGACTGAAGCGCCATCTGGGACACAAACTTGACTTCAGGAAAAATCTTGCACGACGCTGCTAGCAAACCTGAACAAGGAGCACAGAATTTAGCGCTGGCTTGCCCGTTTGCAAAACATTGGTGCGAAACCGCTCCTTTTTGGAACCACGGTGATTTGCCTGGCCGGGCCCTGCTTAAACTCTCTTTGTCAGCCAGCTTGAAAACCAGCCACCCTAAACCCTAAGGCAACAAGGCGCCTTTTAGCACAAAACTGCTGTGGGTCAAAATGGGCGCAACGTTGCAAGGTTTGCAGCGTTCAAGCAAGAAAATTGCACTTGAGGCCTGCACATCGGGCTGCGGGTTCCGTTTGGGAGCCATGGCCACACGTCCGGCGCTAACCTCGAGAAGCAATAGCCGCCTTGCAAGACAGAAGCAGTGACTTTGCTGGAGCCGAAAAGAAGCGGTTCCGTTCAAACAAAACTCAAAGACCAGTGTTGCGGCATGAGCGACTGCCTGGCTGCTTTGCCCTAATCCGTCAGCTATCAATGCTTGCAACTCCAATCCAGGCCTGAAAGCGTGTGTCGCAAACCTGCAACATAGGCACCGGCGGCGTCAACCGAACTTGGGCGACCCAGCCCGCCCTACGAGCTTCTGGCAACCGCAGTCAAAACACCAAGCCTGACAGTAGCAAACTTGAGCAGCCACTGTTGTCAACCCACTCACCTACCGTGCTGAGTGCCCGACAGTCAGCGCCGGGCCTGCAAAGCGAAACAGAAGGCGCAATCATAACACCCACAAAAGCTACTGCGCTTCGCACACTCCTCTCCAAGTCAAACCCACGGGTTTGGGGTTTTTATGCAACCAGAGCGTGTGTTAGAAGTCTGGCGTTAACAAAATCCAAAACTAAGTGGCCACTTACGAATTGCTACCTCCCAGCGTCACCACAACCCTGTTCCCAGGGTTGGCCAGCCAGTCATGGCGCTCCAAGTACTCCAAGTGCTTAGTCGAGTAATTCACCGGCTGTGCACCACGGCCACGGCCAAACAAATTCGACGGTGGTATGCACAAGTTCCGCCGGCTCTGTAGAGCCAAACTCGACGAGGCAGTCGTACTTGCCTTGGAGCTTTTCCAGGTGGTTGACAAGGAACACCAAGTCCCTCACATCATCCAAGACCAGGCCGTCGTGCACCCCTCGCTGAAACTGACGCATGGAGTCGGGGAAGAACTCCAAAGTCCCAATCTTGAGCTCCAACGGGTGCTGAACAAGGGGCTCTTTGCCCATTCAGTTTTCCCTGCACGGGAAGGTTCCGGGTACAACCAAGATGGGGGGTAGCGTAGAGATCAACTCGAAATAAGTTTGAGCCACCTCCTCAGCCTCTGGCACTCTGGGCAAAGGATGGTACCGGCTAGGGGTTGGAACGAATCCATGCAAACCTGCTTCAGCCACCGCTAGCTGCGAAGCAGCTGCCTCTTCGTGGTCCCGGCAAGCTTCAAGGTTTCGCTTCCTGGAGACCACGCCGTCCCGGGTGAGGATTACCAGCTTCTCATCTGTGGCCGAAGTAACCTTGCGTTGTTTCCACAAGGTTTCTGGCCACTTGCCGAGGACTTGGTAAGTCTTGTCACAACGCGCCCAGCATGGCAAATAGTTGCCTTGCGTGCACGGCAAGCCGTCGCATCCAAAGACCGTGCCAATTTTGATCTGCAAAGACGTTAAAATCAGGCCACGGTCCACGTCAGCGCTGAAAGCTGCTGGCCGAAAGCTTCCCCGCCACATCAGTGGAGCTTTGCGTTTGGTCTTGCACCGTTGAAGGAAAACACGTCAACCACCCGTCTGTCAGACGCCGCAAAGAATTGCACCATGAAATGGACGTGCGGCAAGCCTGAAGCACACCTTTCCATGGAGGCACACCACTTGGCGACCCCCCATTCTGTCAAGTGCGACGACACAAATGCAAGGAACGCCTGCCAAGCGTCCTCCGCGATGCCATGGTAAGTCAGCAGCACAGCAGTAGACCGAATCCTTTAGAGCGTTCGCTGCTGCCCCTCCTTGGCAACGGTTGCCACAACGGCCGCCTTCGCCGGCCGACCGCCTCCCGCACTGGCTTTGGACTTGGCATCCTGCCACTCCTTCCGGGCTTGCTGCAAGCGCTGGGCATCAGCAACAGCTCCCCCCTTGTCCGGGTGCACTTTCTTCACCACTGAACGAAAGGCAGCTTCCACCAAACTGTCAGAGCTGTCCCGCGTTACAGTCACTCGGACACCATACTGCTGCGCTAGTGACAGCAACAAAGAAACAAGGGCGCGTTTGGCCAACAAGATCAAAGATGCTGCCATGTTGAGCCGAGAACTGGCGATGAAGAACTTGCGGAGTAGTTTTTTTAATTGGAGAATCGGTTTCCCCCCTTAGAAGGAGCACGGAGTAGTTGCGGGGTAGGGGCTGCGCGGAGTAGACTGCGCTGAAACGCACGCAAAAACCATTGAAAAATGCGCGGAGTAGTTTTTTCCCGTTCTAAGAAAACAATGTTTTCTACTGCGAAACAGAACCACTCCGCACTCCGTGGAGTAACGGCAGCTGAAACCCCGCTAAGAGCGCTAAGAGTCTACGGGGGTGAAGGGGTTGGGCAACGTCCCCGTCCTCGACGCTCATGCCAAGCAGTTGTGGACGGACGCACCTCAGACAAAGGGCTTGAGGCTTCGCTGAGCTTTTTAAGTGCGAGGATGGGGCCCAATCTGTCGAACTCTTCCCCGCCCAAAGCTCAAGACCATGTGCTCTGTGTGACAAAACCGTGTCCTCAGGCACGGCGCCGCAACTCCGCTCGACCTGCACAAAGGTGCAAGAACCCTGTCTCAGCCAAGAACTCGCCTCCCTCCCTGCCACTCGTCTTTCCAATCGGCGGTGAGTGAAAGCTATAGTTACAGCGGGCAGACCCGACACTTTGCGTTAGGCTTTCTTGCCGGTCTTCTACCCTGCCCTCACGCGCAAACGCAAAAATCAACTAGCGCGGCATTGCGCAAGCCGGGGCGAGACTGCTCTCCTGGCAAAAGCGAACATGCATCTGAGTGTTGGCTGGTTCCCCAAAACGGTGGCAAGGGGGAACCAAAGTAGCAGGTGCGTTTCAAGGCTTGCACCGTCCATGCCTTACGTCTCTAAGAAGCTCAAACACGATCTGCCGCTGTTCCCAGAAAACTCTTCTAGAACCTTGCCGGAGCCCCGCAGGCTTTTTCAGGACGCCCCCATGGCTCCATGCGATAAGAAAAACCGTGCAGCTTTCCACGCTAAACACCCACGCGCGTGTTTCCAAAGGGCCCCACACGTTGACGCGCTCAGACTTGGCCTGGCACAGCTTCGTGAAAGGACAACCGGCTGTTGCGCAGTCAAACGCTGCGCGCCCGCAACAGAAATGGCTCATGCTGCAACCTCACACACGCAGTGTGACATGTGTGAGGCTTTGGCTACTCATACAAAGATGAAACGCCACAGACCTGTCGGCGGTAGCTTTTTGGGCGGGGCCTCACTCTTAGGGCAAGCTAGTGGCAAGTTACTTGGCTCCTCACTCAGCTCCGGCTGCTGCGTTGGCTGCTGCCGCGCCTTGGCCACGCAAGACTTCCTGACACGCAAACGTCGCTTTGCTTCAGCGCTGTGCCCATCAAGTGCCGCTCAGGCCCAGGCCACCCAGGCCACCAGCTCCATCGGCACCACCCAGCACCTTCCCACCAGGCGTCACTGAAAGCGCAAATACGTTGTCGCGTTTGCCCGTCAAGACGCTGCTAGGCCAGGTCGCCCGCGGCCATATCCAGCCACCACCAACACGCCTTTCCCACACCAGCACTCGCCTGAAAAGTATTCTTTATTATTATACTATTATGATTTGTTGCCACCGCACAACCCCGACTCCCTGAGAACCACCGCACCAAGCCAGAAAGCGGTAAACTGCAACCTTACGTTTGATCCTGGCGCCTGCTTGGGCGCGCTGGAGCAAGAGCTCGAGGTCTGCCGCGGAAAGCCCCTTGGCAGCCTGTGGGCCAACTCGCCCCACGCCGCAAAACCGTCAATCAACGGGCCTTGAGCAAGCGCTGGCGCTTGGCAGCGAGGAGCTTTTGGTCTTTGGCAGCCTCCTTAGACGGCGCTTCAAAGCAGCACGACGCTGCTTCAAAGTCTCCATCTCCTGGTGCAGGAGGGCCTTGGTGACAGAAACAAACGCTCACCCTGAATCTGGCTAAAACCAATACGAATTGCTTTGTACTTGTGGTTTTTGGCCCCAAAGGTGGTCTGGTTCGTTCGCGCAAGGGCAGAAAGCAAGCTTTTCTAGTCAATGGTCAGAGGGCGGCTCATCGTGCCCACGAAGGTGGCAGGCAGGGGGCGTCTCCGCGTTTCAGGGCTTCTTCTGCGCCAGCTGAAAAGCGAACTTGGCAAGCAGCTTTCCCTGCCGACATACGCCTCAAGGTTCACCTTCATGTTCTTCGGGAAGATCATTCTCGCGGCTTCAACAGAGGGTAGGCCGTCCGGCACTGTCGGAACTTGTTGCCACTCCAGCGCATCACAAAGTCTTCGGCCCAAGCGAGAC